CATGTCTTTCACTTGTATCTTTTGACATTCTTAATAGGGTAACTAAAACTGAATCTTACTGTTAAAAGAAGCTTGCAAGTAAGGACTAATAAAAGGTGGTTAAGAGCTTTTTGAAATTCTCTATCACTGATCAAATTGTGCACGTTTTAAAGCAATAACTGTAAAGGAAGAAGCATTTGGAGCCTGTTGTTTCATTGTTCCAATTCTCATTGGATAGGTCGGAAATTGTGCATGAAGCAGCTGTGTATCTTGCTCTTAGCTACCAAACAGACACAAAAGTAAGAAAATACCTGAACAAAAAATGAGGTGTTCAAAAACAAAAAAATTCCAGTGTTATTAATTGATTGCTTTCTTTTCCTCTAACAGGGCAAGCAAAATTCAGGTAGCATACTCTGAATAAGAGAAAAATAAATACATGAAAGCGAAATTTATGAAGAGCTTCAGAAGGAGGAAGAAAACATGAAAATCTGAGAGTGAGTTAAGTAGAAGAGAGTCTTAGGGTTGGGAAGGCAACAACATAAACAGCTATGCGACAAACCACCAGCGGTAGATTTCTAACACCTAGACTTAAGCCTTGATGAGAGCAATTCAACTTTGGGAAGCAAAACAAGTCACTCAGTCTACACTGAAGGTTTCGGATACTCGAGATATGATAGTGAAATTGAAGAGCTGCTAAAGCCTAGGAGTAAAAAGGCATGAGCAGATTATAATCAGAGGTTATAAAAAATAGTGTTTGTAGTTGCAGGTGGTAAATTTGTTTCACAGACAATACGACTAAAAGAGGAAAAATAAAAGCTGAAAAGTTTATCAACTGATTGAAAACACTATGTCTGCGTTTGGCTTGGTTTACCCTCATATAATTGTACTTGCTATGGCTAATGGCGCTAGCATAAAGACAGAATGCAAGTTACTTGCATGCTGGTTGGTCCTTTTAAATATAGAATGGGAAAACAGCTTTTTAGTGATGTAGAAAATATGTTTTTAGGTATTCACTGCTGATTTAGAATTGCTGAATTTCCTGTGCTGACAAGAGGCTGACTACAACCAAACACATATATATGTAGGAAAAAAAAAAGAACTTATGCCCCTGCTGTGCTTTTTATGCTTTCAAAGTTTTAAGCAATGATGTACAGGAAATGCCATGTTGTTACTGTTCTAAAACAAAGCATCTTACTCAATGTTGTTACCAGCTATTTATGTGAGTATGACTGAATCCACAAATCTCATCATTCTACTTCAGCTGTCCAGCTGAAATGCCACTTCTTGCTTTCTTTGTTTCTACAAGTTTCAGATGATAACCTTTGATTAAAAACAGAAAAAATGTTGGCGTGGTTTAATCCATGCAGTGTCAATATAATTAGTGGAAAGAGGCACTATTAGAGATGCTTTAGCCTCTTTGCCTAAGAGGCACTACACTGACTCTTGGCTGCACTTGTGTGAATTTTGAATTTGATTTTATCATGGCTATTTTTCTTGTTATTTTCTAGAGATTTCTGATATTTCAGGTACTGTCTCCACCTTTAAAACTACCTGCCATGGTTTAAAACAAATAACATATTTTTGTGCATGTGTGTGTGTGTGCGCGCGTGTGTGTGTGCGCGCGTGTGTGTGTGTGTGTATTTTTTTTTTCTGGTTTATATTTTTGTGCCGTCAATGGAAAAAGCAGTGATGAACTCCTGTACATGGTGTTTCCCTCTATCCCTGCTCTCTGCTGAGGTCCTCTGAAGCAAATGTATCCTTAATGTGTAATAGCAAGAGTAGCAAAGACTTTTCTGTCCGGATGAAAGGAGTTTTATGTTTGCAGAGGAAAGCCTAACTGTCTGTATGTGTTTGCTCTTTAGTCTCCATTTCACACCAAAACTGGGAATAGAATTGGTGAAAACATTGATGCAGTAAAGTGAGTTTGTCTGTTCTGCTCTTGAGCAGCTTACAAGACTGAGACAGCTCTTATTCACACTCCTTTAACCAATGGACCAGGACGAGGTGGGTTACTAGTAACTTCAGAAGCAAAACACCATTTCCATTCAGCAAGGGGAGGAATTACATTTTTTTGTGAGTTCAGCTTATTTGGGAGACTGGAGGTACAGGGACAGGGGGTAGGTGAGGGAACTGTAGCCCTTCAAGACCTCACCTCCCAATTAGCTACACCCAGCACTGGTGGTTGTGTGGCCTGGGAGGAGAGGTGCCTCCAGCTGGCAGCATAGTCTCGTCAAAGTAACTGGGGCTTTATAGGTGTTTGAGACCTTGGTTGTGTCATGTTGGGTAGAGAAACAGAACCTCATGTAAGCTGACCCAGGGACCCTGAGCCCTATTTCTGGCAGCAATATACTTGGCTTGGTATGTAGAGTGCCTATTTTAAATACTATTGGTTTATTTCTGGAGTGAAGGAGATAGCAGGATATAAATATGATTTGCTAACTGTCTAAAAGACTTCACAGTGATGTTACACATATTCCGTTCATTCAGGCACTCGCATGTGGCCATTTGCAGTCATAGATCCCAAGGCTGAAATCAGCTTTCTTTGGGAGATCTAATTGCCGTAATACCAAGGCTCTAGCCAGTGAGATTGGCCTGCCATTTATACACTGCCTCATCTAATCAAAGCAACATGTGTTGTTTCACGTAATTCCCAAATTTCTGGCTTGAGTTGCATGCTCTCCATTGTTTTCTCAAGCAACACAGGTGTCTAAATCAGTGTAATTCTGTACAAAAGAGCCTAGTCACTTACAATTCTTCCACCTACAATTAATGGTGTAATTTTTTTACTAGATATGGAGTTGAACTGAATTGAAGTTGCAAGATTTTATAGTGTTATGAAAGGGCAGGGAAGAAATATTGTGTAAAACAGCTTCACTTCTAAGCAGAATTTATTTTAGTACTTTTCAGAAGACGTTAGCACCTCCTTAATTCCTTGTGTGTGAGTGTTTGCATTCAGAACACCAGATGCAGCATGGAGTATTGAGGAATTTAGGAACGATTCATTATCATCTCTGCATTTTTAATGCAGGCATTTAATTTAATATTATATAAGTCTCAGTTTTCCTGGACTTTTTTTTGGTGCCACGTGGATACTCCATATTGGATGATGTGGGTTTTTTTCTATACATCTAAGTGCTTTAAAGTTTCTTTGTTTATAGAAGTACTTCTCAGAGGCAGAGCCTTTCCTTGTCTCGTATACTCACGTACCCTCCCTTCCACCTGTTCATTTAGAGCTACATAAAAATGCATGCTGGTGCACAGAGGCAGAGGCGAGCTCCCATCAGCAGTAATTGTTGACCTACCACAGTTCCAGTCAGTGATCAATAGATACTACTTTGCTGCACAGCAACAGAGCAAAGAAATTACAGAACCTACTGAGAATTTGTTTTCGACATGCAAACCCAGCTAACGGCCTTCAACTGTAACAGATGTCAGATAGTGACAGGCACCCTGGGGCATTGTTAAAGTACTGCGGGAACTTGACTGGTGAAAAAAGAACGCTATCAAATTACTAAGTGCATTCTAACAAATCACATCAAAGTGGAAGAAAAAGCTTGAGCAAAAGAAAATTACTACTTTCATTTTCTTTCTTATCTTCTGCTCTGACACAGTATGGGTACTGCCTTGTGCAATGCCATCAACCACTATACTAATGAGCAGCTCAGCTGCATGAAACGATGAAGCTTTTACAGTACTGGCCAAGGGGCTATATCACAGGAGAAAATGGATAGATTAGGGGGAACACGTACTCATAAGAATGCATTAGCCGACTTTTTTCTCTTACATACAGGAGGTTCCTATGTGTGAATATTTGTTAACACTCGCGTTAGCTGACTACATGAATCCAATCCAAACCAGAGCAGAAAATTAGATGAAAATTACAATTTTTTTTTGCTTCTTAGGTTAATGTTGCATAAGTACAATATATGGCCCAGATGGTTTACTTCCTTGTAGTGCCTTAATTCCTACAGATGTTAATTCAGAATCAAGGCTAGGCTTGGTAGTGTTTTATTTCTTCACTGTAGGTTTGGTTGTCTCTGTATGGTCATGACCAGAGTTGATTAGATTTAAAATGTGCATAACTATAAAATCAGACATGTATGGGGCCCATTTGTCTCCAGAAAAATCCTGAAGTTCAGGGCGCCAAAAATATAGGAATATTTTCAGATATTATGTTTTCAAAGGGAAATAAAAATGTTACTGCCTACCTCAATTTTTTTTTTTTTTGGTGAGACTTGAAGTAGAATTATATACTTATAGATTGATCCTCTGTCCTGTGTGCAGAGCTCGCTGTTGCCCTGGGCTTGGAGTGATGTTTGTTCTGAGTAAAATGAAGATCATCAGCTGTGCAGCGCAAATTGTGTATGTGTTCCCAGCGTGGGGAGATGCAGGTACCCACTGTGTGCCTGGCTGGTGCAAAGCAGCACCTGCCTGTTCGGCATGTGGAATTGAGGACTACTGCAAAAATGGACAAAGGTAAAAATACAGCTGAACTGATTTTGGAGGAGGAATGTCCATACCTGTCTAGGAAAATCTCAGTAGAAAGATTAAGCATTATTTTCAAACTTCATTCCTGCAAAAATTCATATAACATCATGCCTAGATTTTCAGTGTGGTAGAACTAGTACACTGCATTTTTTTTTTTTTCTGCAAATAGTCACGTTCTCAGATGAAATGGCATCCTATCTCACTCTTTAATAAAGAGTTTTGTGAATGATTTCTGCTAACTCTTTCGTTATAACTCCTCTGATATTTTCAAGCATGAAGTCACAAGAGGCAAATGGTGCCTGCCTTGAACAGCTGTGAGCCATCTCCTACTGGACAGCCCATGCACGCTGTGTTCCTTGGTCTCTTTAGAGGATGTAACTGGTTTTGATGGTCAGAAAGGCAGAATGTCTTCTGCAATATTTATAGAGGTATAATGTTGCTAGGACTTGGCTGATTTGAACTGTCGTGAGGTACACTGGGAAGCAAACAACGATCAGTATTCAGTGATTCAGTTATTAGATATTCAATTATACTGTTTTAGTAAACTATAAAGTGCTTGTGAATACACATGGCTGTTTTCAATATGGATGTTTACATCTCTCAAAAGTTCTCCTTGTTATGAGCCCCTTTGAAGCACTTGGATTGTTTAAAAATATATATATTTTTTAAGGATACAAAAAGATACTTTTTACCAAAGAGGAACTTAAATGAACAACACACAGCAAGAACACTGGAAACCTAGGAGCATTGTATTAGATACTTTAGCTCAAATAAAACTCTTTTATTTGTATTTTTTTTAACTCCCTTCCCTCCTGATTAACTTTAGCTTTTAAAACTCTCCAGTTGTGCCTCCAACCATAGTTGAGCCCATTACTCATTGCCTCCTCAGGTTAGTTACCAGCACAATCCATGTCATCCCCTAAGGAAATGAAGCTTGAACAGGTTAAAGGCTGCAGTCGCATACAGGCGGAAATGAAGGGGAAGGGAAAAGGTAAGTTAAGATTGTTGTCTTTGCTTGTTTGTGCTTCATTCTTTCTCTTCCACTGTCAGTTTTTGTACTTGCTTTTACAGACACCGTTTACTTAAATGTATTCCTAAACCTTAATTTAAAAGCAGGCAAACTCCAAGAAGATATTTGAGTCCTGACTGTGTTCATACCTAAGTTGCGTGCCTTTTAGATGTGGATCTTAACTAGAAGTCAACCTAATTCCCTTTACATTTCAGCATGAAGGGTGCGCTGTGTTTGAGTTCTGGTATCTGTACCATTGTGGCTCTGGCTTGGCGCAAAACTAATGAGGTTCAGCTTTCAAGTTCAATGTTCAAATTTAAATCATGTGGTGGAAGTGCCAAAAGAATGTTTAATGCACTGTAGCATTAATTCTTCTTTTTTAAAGTCAGATTTTGAACTTGTTCCATGAAATCTTATTTGTAAAGATAGAGAGTAAAGAATGAGGGGAGAGAGAGATATGTAAAATACATCTTTCTAAATACAGAAAAGATTATTGCTTTGACCTTGAAGTATAAAATGAACATTAAAATTTTATAGATAAATCCTGGAAGCCATCCCAACATGTAGTAAGCATTTGTTTAAAAGTTTTGCTTTGGCAAATAATATACTCTATTTGTGAAGTGGGATAAAGTGCAAGCTTAGGGGCATTCCTCTAATCAATGGTAAAAAAATAAATTATTATCCCAAACCTAGAACGTTGCTTTAAACTGCTGGTGGTGGCTGGCATAGGTACTTGGTAACAGGGTGAATCAAGGGTTTTACGAGGCTTTAAAGGCAGCTTTGAGGGAGAGTTCACCATATCATCTGATGCTTCAGAAAAATTGTAGTAACTATACTGAAAAGTCAGAATGATTCTATAAGGGAGAAAAAGTGCTAAGTGGGTCTCTAGGCCAAGATTGCAGTTCACTCCCTGCAGTTATATTTGCATTCCTTTAACAAGAGCATGAGACAAGAATATGTATTCTGCAATATATTTTCCCTGATAAGAATTTAGGATCGTATGGAGCTGTTGTTACTGGGAACTGAACTTCGGGGTAAGCTTTTGGATGCTGAAAAGTGGCTTTAACGAATCTGCTTTAGGACCATTAGCTGTACGCTGCACTTGTTCACTTAGAACTACAGGTTTTGGGGTAGCTTTTGTGCTTCCCTGTAAGGGAAGGAAGATGGAGACTATCTCTGTCCTGCTTTAAGGTAGAACATCTGAGCTCTTTTTCATGTGCAGTGTGAGCAGTATAAAGAGAGCCGAGACTTAGCTTTAAGTCTATTGCTCAGGTTTCAAAGAAATGCTTTGCAGGAGGGAGTTTTCAGCCAATGGAGAAGGAGAAACATTGCTGTGCTCTGCTAATCACTTCTCCGTTTTTGTTTACAGACCTTTTCCAAGTTTTGTATACCTTCAATCTGCTCAATTTTGAACAGCCTTCAGGCTGTCTCTGGAGGAAAAGGTCAAATTATGGGAATAGAATAGTTATTCAGTTGTATCTGAAATGTGACAAACTCCATCTCTGCTGAATGCTAAAGCTGGAACTGAATGTAGATTTGCAGCAGTTTGAAGCTAGTGTGGCATATTCACACTGTACAACTTGACCTGCACCAATTACTTTATTATAGCTTAAACTGATGTCCTTTATGGTAAGGAGAAAATGTTACGTATAACAGAAAGTATATATTGTATGAATAGCTAAGAACTATTTAGGTCCTACCAGTGCTCATATTCTTGGCAGCAGAATAGTAAGGCTTTTTTCACTATATAATTCACCCAGGAAATGGTTTCTCAGTATAGAAAATGTTTTTATATAGATTTGACCATGTAATTGAAGAACAAAAGTGTGGGCACTGAAGAATTGCTAAGGGGCAAGAAGGGAAGGGAGATATGCAAGAAGAAAATATGAAGTCAAATATATGGCTTATTGCGAACATGGTCCTAATGCATTCCCGCTGCTGCGGAGAATTGTGGGTTTGGGGTAAAAGTTTACAGAATAGTTTCAGAGTTTTTCTCAAAGCACTCTCACAGAAGCAAAGGGAAATCCTGAGAAACTGTGAATGTTTCTCAAAGATGAGGGTTACAGCCCATGTGCCTGTCCCTTTTGCGTCAGGTGGAAAGATGGCAGTCAATTGCAGGGACCCTACAAGCCTCCCCGCCACTCAGGGAAGGCTTTTCCCTAGGTGTGGGAACTGAAAAGGGGAACTGATTTAGATGGGTTGGAATGATATGCAGAAATGAATATTTATCAAAACTGAAAATTTCCTTGAAAATACTGACTTTTTTCCCCCTCTCTTCCTAAGAGAATTAGAATTGAGACTTTCCAGCCTTGTATAGTGACTGCACTGCAGCAGAATACGCTGGCTCTGTGCCTTTCCCGTGGTTGGGCTGGGGAAACGGGCAGGAAGGGTGGGAGATAGTTCGAGGCATTTGGCCTGAAAAATTTTTGTCAGTCTCACTTCCCAAGAATGTGAAACTGAGCTGAATGTTTTGGAAAGGGTAAAATTCTCCTACAGAGCCACCTGACTAGCCCTGATGCATGAGGATTGGTGGGGCACGTGCATGTGTAGTTAGCAAGAACTAAGGCTTATACTGAACCTGAGATCAAAACTTATCCTGTTGTCATGAAAGAAAACCTGAAAAAACAAATTATATTTTGGTACTATTTGAACAGCCAGTGTAATTTATTGCACCTTCTCATACGTAGTTCTTTCAGAAAAACACCTGAATTGGTCTGTGACAGACAACTTATTTGGTGTCATACTGTATATGTTTAGGAGCATTTGACTCTTCTTGGCAACATATTACAAAAGTATGTTTCAAAAGCTAGTTGAAACCTGGTGGAAATCATTTTCCTTAGCAAAGAGTTGTTAGGGTTTTGTTGTTGTTGTTTGTTTCGGTTTTTGTTTTTTTTTTTTTTTCTTCTCCCTCTTCAGTCTGTCCCCGGGCAGACTCTTTCCTGTAATTGCAAAATTGAGAAGTGCCAGAACTGATGCTGACTGACGCTGCTATTCTATCAAGTCAGAGGAAAGTTTCCTGTTCGTGCTTCTCTCCTTATTAGTAAGGACAGATTATTCCACAAAGGGTTCATTACCTACAGAGGCTTTAAAAGGTTTTTAACAAAACACAATTATTTACAGGCAAGCTGAGAGATTGTTCAACAGAAATAATAAAAATCTTGTCTGACTGACTTGCACAGATTGCAACTGGCTATTGGGCTGGAATTCTGATTGAAGATGCAAATTAAATTTAAATTAGGAACATAAACGTAAGTATGAGTTTTTTCAATCTGTCTCTCCTATGTGGTAATTCTATGTGTTACTTTTTCTGCCTTATTGCACAGCTCTGTCAAGAGAAGAAAGAAATTATGAAACTCAACCATAAGGCAGGTGTACGTGTGCGCATGCACACGAAACTAAATTCTTGTGAAATACCGAACCAGACTGCCAAGTTCTTAAAAAGATATCTATATCTAAATCCTTTGTTGCATCTTGTGTAGCTATACACAGCCAAAATCAGATATTTTCCAAGAAAAAATGATTTTTATGTCTTTTTTTCCCTCTCCCAGTGCTCATGGCTATCAAAAATAAAATGTTCTACTATAGCTTTGCCAAAAGAGCTAATACTAATTTTCTCTCCTCCAGGACTCCCTTTTCATGGAGGGCAAAAAAGTAGAGTTTCCAAAATGATTTCTATATTGACTCCTTTCAACTCACCCTAGAAAAATCATATGTAAGCAGTGTGTTTTCAATTTTTGACAATCCTTGCTTGACATAAAGGACTTTTGCGATTACTTTAACTTCAACTGAGGCCTGGTCGCAAGTTTGGCGGTAGTGTAAAGCCACTGTTTTACTGCTCTTCCCCTGTGCTGGATATAATTCAGGACTCGTTCAAAAGAATTGTGTATGTGATCTTACCAAAGTTTGCAGCTGTGGACTTCAATAACTGATACTCCTATTAGTGAGGACTGGAAGGACCAAATTCCTGAACTAGTGAATGCTTATAGTCAAGAATTGATTCACAAAATTTTCATGTTTTTCGAACTCCACATCAGGTAGTAGTACATAGGCAATAAAGAGCACGTCTGAGGTGTATTTGAAATGATCCCCAGGTGCCTGGTGGCTCCTCTGCCCAGAGTGCAAATCAAATTTCATGACCTGCCCTATTAATACTGCTCAGGCTTCTTGTGACAACATCTAACTGTGAGAAGATTGCCATTTTTCCATCTGGTCATTAGAACTAAGTGATTATGGTCTTTTTAATATAGTCCATATCTTGAGAAGGATGTATCACTTTTTCTTAAAAGTTCACAGCTTAACATTTAGGGGAAGGGGGGAAAGAGAGGGGGACACCTACAAAGATATTTATAAATGAAGTGAGAAGCAGGTCATCATAGACAGGATATCGAAAAAGGAGAGAAGGGTGTATGTAGAAATTGGATCTGTTCTCCTGTCCCTGTTCTCTTTTAAAATGAATAAACAACATCATTTTCTGAGGACTTTTCATTCTTTAAAAGACCATCAAAATGCCAAGCAGATCTGTACTACTGCTCTGTAACTAAAATTTAGATTTTTTTCCTCCATTAGAGCTATGTGAAGAAGCTATAAAAATATAAGACGTCTTTTCTCTTCAGCTCACTTTTATTTTCATTCCTCCTTGGTATATTAATGACTTTCATGACTTTCATTTCAAAAGTAATTATTTTGAAGGTAATTACTAATAAGAAGGTGTTTTTAGCAAATATAATCACTAATGCAGCAGGTCTTCCCCAGGTGCCTATACTGAAAACATGTTATTGATCACTGAAGTTAGATTAGGAAAATTTATCAAGACTGCTGCTCTCTATTTTGGACACAAATGATTTTTTAAATCCCAATGTTTGAGATTAAAATGTGTGTGTGTGTGTGTGTAAGTTAGAACATAATTTATTGCCAATTACTACTGACAGAGCTTTATTCTTTCGTAGGTATCTTCTGTAATTTATGAAATTTCTG